GTGATGGTCTCAGCCTTAACTGGAATAAAGCCTGGGTCTTCTCTCTTCCCTCTCACCTATGGACAGACTTACTTGTCCGTAAATTACAGACATCTTTTCCTACCAGCTTTACTTTAGACCACATTCTGAAGGGTGCAATAATCCAGGAAAGTCTAGAATAAAGAGTATGCCAGGTTATCTAGACTGGCTATCAAATGGAACAATTCTGAAACCAACATGCCTATATACTACCTCAGAAAAGTCTGAAGCTCCTCTTCCAAGGAAAATCCTGCCCTTTCAAATATGTCATGTAGCTTTACCGAACTCAGAGCTCTGGCTGACTGAATACATTTCCAGTATAACCATTAATATCTGATTGGGGCAAACGTTGGACCCACATGGAGTCCTACCACAGAACAAATCTGGAAAGTAATGTAGGCCCACAAAAAAATCCTAACTGCACCCAAACTACCAAACTATGAGATATATATTAGGTGTACTCTTATAGCATTATGTTTTGTAAGAAATACAATAGTGGATCATTCTGATGATCAGAAGATGCTCAAAGTGAGTAAGAACAATGGAATGAATCCACCCGATCTCTTGCAGCAAAAGTACAACCTACAGCTGCTACTCTCTTTCTGCCATCAAAAAGCTGCTTGCAGGCAAATGTGGTTAAACTACTGAGGAGCTCAGGCATCCCAGCACGGCCACATGACTAAAACCTTTTGGCTGCAGAGCTGTGGTCTGTGCCGCTGTGGCAGGAGGAGAAGAGAAGTTCCTTCACAAAAGCACAGTGATCTGCAGTGTGGCAGATGAACCTCACATGCTGTGTGGAGCAATGAGACCAGAGGCACATCGTGGGCATCCACGGGATCGCCCTGGAACAAGGCTTGGGCTTCTGAACAACATGACATTTGCTTTAAATAACTTCCACAGAAATTCAGCCACTGTGGGAACTAAATGTCTCCATGTGTCCTTTGGGGCCAGGATTTTGTATGCTTCAAGGTATAATGAAGATTAAAGGCAAAATTCTTAAATGAACAGGGAGATGCTTATGCCAAAATATACATGAGTAATCTAGAGCATGATACAAAAATGCAAATGCAAGAATAGAAGGAAATCAGGACACTGTAATGCATATTGCTTTAATTTGAGGAGCAAAGGGATTTGAGTGGATTTCTAGGGTATAATGCAATACAGAATAATACAGTGTTTATGTCAGATATAGCTGATGAAAGCTCCCAACAGATCAATGCAGGAAAAAAGTATAAATCAGTAGTATTGGAAGATGTCACTTGAGAGCAAATCTATTCTCAAGCTAAGGTAATATTTTCTGATACTCCCTGTAGTTGAATACAGTTAATGTGAAACAACGTGGGAAAGAGAAAAAATAAATCCAAATGTCACTTGAGGGGAAAATGGAAGTTTAAAATATCATCTCAAGGATCCATATACTGCGCAGAGGGATTTGGGTGAGGGAGAGCACCCATCCCAATAGCAATCACGAAGGTAAGGTTACAATGGCCAACTTTGCAGCTGGGGCAGAGAACTTCTGTTTGCCCAGGGCAGGGGACAGCACCCTTCGCTGAAGCATTGCCTCAAGGTGTTGTCCAGCTCTTGGCTCTGTGGACAAACCTCTCCTCTAACAGAGAGGCAGACACAGCCCAGCTGAAATGGCAGGGCTCCCTGCAGGCGTGTAGGCAGGCGTTGCTTGTGAAAGGAGCAAAAAGTGTTGCCACACATTTCCTTCATTATCTTATTCGTTTTGACTGTGTTAAAGCACTTTAAGTTAATGTGCTGTATACTAGTGTATGATGGTGTAAAACACTGCTTACAGAGGTCTCTGAAACAAGCAGCTTTCCATGGACCATAGACCTTACTGAGCAAAGAGAAAATGAATAAGCATAACTAAGAAAACTACTATTCCTGTCTCCAGTAATTGCTTCTCCTTCATCATCCGTTGAGTTTTAATATGTAAATGAATGGAGAGAGCCTTCTGGCTTTGCAGTCTCTGTGAGTGAATGTTCTTGATGACAAATACAATTTTGGAGAAAAAAGGGATTCACTGTATGGTGAGCCCAAGCTAGAACTCGTTTATACTGCTTTTAAATCACTGGACTTATTTCCGATCACCACTGACATGAAATCAGACCAAGGGAGCACCGACAGAGCACCTGGTCTTCTGCTTGGGCTGGCTTCCTCCCATCCGTGCTGCACACCTTCCTACCCCGTTTTTCCCTGGGTTGTAGTGTTCTTCCTACAGTAAAAGAAAAGAGAAAGATGAGTAGGTCATTGTGGGTAGAACAAGAGCTGGCTGCAGTGGAGACGTGTGCCATCGCAGTCCCCTGGGGCACGTTTGACTGTCTCAGCTGAGTGCATCACTTCGCTCCTGAGGTCGTGCATGTGAGGGCAGGAGACACAGCCTGGGTAATTGCCACTTTTCTCTCAAAAACTCGGTTTAGCAGTACTTGTAGGGACATCCTCTTCTTTTCTGCCTGTAGAAATCATTTTACATGTGTCCGCCTGCTTTAGCTTCCACTTGATTTCTCTATCTTCCTAGAGCCTGGAGTTGAATAGATAGGTAGATAGGTTTGAAGTTATCCTCTTGTGCATGAATGCCTGGTTTTTTCAGATAAAATTCTCTGACATCTCAAACTTCTATCTTGAATATGTATTAGACAAGTTGCTTCATATATAAATATATTTACAGTGCTCACAAAGTGATAGCTCCATTGAAGTTTCTGTTAGAAAATGCCTTTTTCTTGCACAGGCTGGAGGTGAGGGGAGGGGTCAGGTTTGTAAAGCAGCCTCACAAGCTCTCTCTGACCTGGAATTCAGTTCACTCCAGAAGTGAACTCTCAAATGCAGAGAGAGAAGATAGTCTTGAGCTTGAGCCACCAACCCAGATTTGGGGTGTGTGGTGTCAAATGGCGCATCTTGTGCCTGAGCCCTCCTGTGCCTTCAGTGTCCCTTTTTGGGGGGAGAAAGAAGCTGTCCTTCCACCCACCCCTTGTAATGATTTGTGGTCTCTTTGTGGAGCTTCTATCAGCCTCTCCTTCTCCATCACCTGATGGTAGCGCTGGGCTGCCATCCTGGAGGCGGTTTTGCAGCAAGAACCGTAGCAGACCCGTGGTGGGAGGTGATATGACCTCCTTCCTCCAGCCTGCCACTCGCAGATTTTCCCCAGGCTTTGCATTAGCCATTTAGCATGCTGGCTTTCCTCTGGTTCCAGTGCAGCCTGTGTGGAAGCTCATCCGGCGTTCCTTGTTTGCTGAGAAATTACGTTCTGTCTGACCACACGGATTGCCTGTGCGCAGCTCACCGGGTGATGCACATCCATGATTTATCCTTTTGCTATTAACCACACATCCAATGTCTGTGCCTTCTTATGGTGATCTTATTTCTTTTCGTCAAATGGCGCATAGTAAGAAAGACCGAAGACTTAGAACTGGGACTCTTTTGGAATTATATTCATCTAATGATGAATATAATCTTTTATAGTTACCTTTAAAGGCCTGTTGTTTAAACATTTCCCTTTCACTTACGATGTGCCAGGTTAATTTTGGTTTGAATTCAGTTCCTAAGCTGTCGCAGAGTACAGAGTAATTTATTTTATAGAAGTCTCTTACACGTTAGAGTATGATATCAAGTTAACAAAGTTACCTTCATGAACTCATACTGCGTTGCATTAAGTACATTATTTTTCATATCTGCTATGAATTGAACTCTGAACCAGCACATTAGCCTTCTCAGGAGCTGGGCCAGCCTAGGGTTTGGCCAGGTCATTTTACTTTTGAAAATCAATATAACGTTGACAGTCCTCCAGCCCCCTGCAACTTCCAAGACTTATTGAAAATTCATGTTGACGTTTCAGTGCTCAGGCTTCTGGGTAGGTTCACTTACATTTACATAAATAAAAGTTTAACACACCTGAAACTGAGGCTAGCTCTGAGGTGGGAAGGAAGCAAAGCACAAGCAGGGTAGATGGGACTGCTCAGCGCTCGGTAGGAATCGCTAAGCAAGAGTCTTGCGGTGGCTTTGAGAAGGCATCAAACACTCAGGTTCAGGGTAAAAGAGCTGCTAAAACTAGAAGGAAGACTAACTTGGGAACTTTGCTCCTCTGTCTCTTCCAGCAGTGCAAACTGGGAAGAGACGTGCTGAAGGAAACCCCGAAAGAAACCCTGGGAAAGGAAGTGGGGATCGGACGTGAAGTTGAGTACCGTGTTGTGGTCTGACTGGGGAGCTCTGAAAACCATGCACCAACTCCCCAGCCCTCAGACAGGGGCTGCAACTCCATGTTCCTCTGTTGGGGGGGTTGGATTGCATGTGCACAAGCCCTCGGGGAATTTCAGGATTAAATGTCGCTCTCAGGAATGCAGTAACTTCACTTCTTTTAAATACATTTTCAGCCCTTTGCTGATGATTAAAGTTCAAGGTCGAGATGCATCTTTCCTTGCGGACATTTGCTTTGATTCCTAATGTGCTTTACTGAAAAATCTCAAACGTACAGCGAAGGAGGTGACAGCATGTCAGAGAACTACATATTTAGTTCTAGCAGCGAGTCAATCAGACATCTAGGCAATTACCCTCTGCTCAGGATGACAACTGAGAGATGTGTTTATTCTGTCTCCAGGAATCTCTGTTATTTTAGGATCCTTTCCAGAGTGCAACCAGTGCTAACTCGTCAGTATGTGGAGACTCTTGTTTATGCTTTGGTTTCCTATCTGGGTGGGATTATTCAGTTATTGACTTGCTGGCCCCCACTCAACCTTTTAAATTCATTTCTACCTTCCACACAATTTCTTGGCAGGAGCTACAGGCTGTCTAAGCCCAAGCCCTCATATCTTCATCTGCGCTGATGAATCTTTTATCTGCTTTTCAAAGGGTATTAGCTCTTCCATGAGCTGTTAGGTGGCACCTCGCTAACACTGCTAAGACTCCTGCGTTCGGCTGTGGTTTGGCATCTCCCACAGCCTGACACAGTGGTTTGCTGGTCCTTCCCAGGGCTTCTCACCGTGATGGCCCTTGCAGAGACAGGACTCACTCTGCTTGTGTGGTGGAATCCCCGTGTAAAACCCTGCTCTTCTTTACATCCCTATAGAGTCATTGACCACAGATGCATCGCTGCAGGTCAGTACTGGGATACTGAAAGCCAGCTATCGCCCGTCCTCTCTAGATATACCATAGGCACACTGCAGACAGCGGCAGTTACAACTCCTGCCTGAATCTGATTAGTGAGCTAAATATTTTCTGCTCCATGGGAGCACCCAGTGCCATATAAGCTGGAGGCTTCCCTCAGGCAATGAACAGATGAGTTTAGCTGGAACAGGCTTTGTTATCTTTTGACACTTTTTTGGGGAATCAGTTACTTCTGTGAGAAAAAAGGTGTTTAGGATGGCGTTTGCCTTTCTGAGCAATGCAAACCCTCTGACAAGCTACAGAAGGGAGCCCCGCTGCTCAGCTCAAGGGCAGGCCACTCTTACCCCCCAAAACGTCCCCAGCTAGGGCAGGAATTATAAGCAGCCTACATACAGTGAAGTCAAGCTCCCCCTTTTCATTTGGAGAGGATTCAATATAGTAACCTGTACTGCTCCAACCAAGCAAGCCTCGGGGCCCCCAGCTCCCACCGAGACACCCCAGCGTGACCCGGAGCCAGGTGCTGCAGCATCGCGGGCGGGATGGCACCTGAACCATGCACAGAGACAACCCTCTCCTACCCCGCTGCAAACCTCTCCCTGCTAAAACTCTCCCCCCACACACCCACTTCTACCCCTGCGTGGCTGGAGGACAAAGAGGGTTTTTGCAGGTTCAGGAGGCCTTTCTTCATTTCTCTTCCTGGAAGCCTGGTTATTATAGCAGTAGCCTCTAGCTACATCTGTGAAGAGGAGCACCTCCACCAGGCATCTCCTGTAATAATGACTTCTTTTTTCTTTGAACTTGCGAGGCACTGTTGTATGACATTAAGAAGGTGAATCCAAAGAGGACCATAGATGTAGGGTCACTCCAAGTAAACCCTGACGGGACACAAGAGAGTAGTAAGGTAACAGAAGAATGATATGACAGCACATAATTGCTGATATGTGCAATTACCAACCACTTATCCAAACAGCAGTTGGTCTTAATCTTACAACCTTTTTTCTTGCTAAGGGTATCAGCCACTAAATTGCTTCTGCTTCCTCTGGGACGCAAAGTAATCTTTAGGCTTGAAATTGAGGTATTTTCCTTCCTTTTCAGTACCTACATTTCTTTGCCTTTTTAATATTTGAAGCAGTATTGTTCCATTGTTAATCTTGATAAAAAATAAATCAGAGCTACATGCATTATTAAGACAGAGAAAGAAAAAGGGAGAATGAGAGGGAGAGAATATACATTCTACCTAGAGACAGACCATTATCTAGTCAGGCATTGCACTGGACGTCCAGACAGTGTCTATTCCCATCCATGGGCTTCATGTGGGTGCTGGCTACCTTCAACTTCCATTGCCCATGGTGGGAACTGAGGGTGGTGGACCAAGCTGTCACATTGCCAACTTCCAGGAGCAGAGCTTGGCTTACTCTATGTGTTTTGTAGCATGGAAAATACAGATCATACTAGATACATGTAAACAGAAATGGAAATGTTTGGTGAGCTAGGGCATTCAGCAAATATTTCAGAGGATTGTATCTGACTCAGATAGTGGACTTTTCCATCATTGCTGTTTGTAAATTAAGAGGCTTAAGAGACTATTTAAGGCATAATGAAAATGAAAGATGCTTCTTTGTAAATGGCAGCAGCTTTCTCCAGATGTTGCTTCTCAGGCCTGGCTTTATGTGTCTATTCCCAAGCTATCACTGAGAAGGATTGAGGACCAAGCTGTCCAAGGATATGTCTGGAAAGAGGCCACAACTTGCCAAGGCAGCAGGAGGTGATATGAATTGGAAGCTGTCCAAGACATTTGAGTCTTCTGAAGTCCAGCTCCAAGAAGTTTATCTTTACTGTCAGTGAGAACTTCAGGCTCGGGGTACCATTGTGGCCAACGGCGTGGTCAACAGCAATGGTCAAATAAGATTAACAGCTAAGAGAAAGTGAGAGGAGGGCACAGTGGCTTGCCTGACATTGCATGGTTAGTCTAGAGCAGAGCAAGTGATAGCTCTTGGGGTGCTCCTGGAGTGGTCCCAGGTCAGCACCCCAACCCATGGGCCTTGCTGCCTCTAACAACGTGGGTCGGCGTCAGACTTCAGTAGTGGGATGATACATGTGCGTCTTCCTCTCTTTGAGCAAGAAAGTCATTTCAGTGCACAAACGATGTCTCGATGTGGGCGAGGGTATGAATGGGTGCCCACACCTGCCTGTGGACACACAGGAGATGACTGCAGTTGGTCTTGGTGCAAGAAGTAAAGCAATACAGATAACTAAGCATATGTTAATAAAGTCTGACTCTAGTGCATACTGCCATTCTTGTTTATTCATATGTTGACCCCAATATTAGCAGTACATATTTCTTAAACAAAATCCGTGTCCTGCACTGCTAATTGTTAACATAACAGAGGGTTCGTGAACCCATCTTTCATCACATCACTTAAACATTATTTAAACAGTATTTTATTACATTTATTTCTTCAGAGGTAAAAACATTTCCTTGCTATGCCTGTCAACTGATTTGAAAACTAAATATCTAAATCGCTGTAGTTTATTTTTCACAATGATTTCTATATTGTTTTAGTATTAGCCTTTGAGAATAAAACAAAAAATGTAGCCCTCTGTTGTCTTAATTTTGCGATATCGGAAGAATGCTTTCCCAGGAAAGAAATATTGGCTGGCTTGTTAACAGAATGAGTTTTAGACCCTGGTTTGGATCTTCAAAAGTGAGCAAGGGAGTCAGATGCCCAAACCCAGTGACTTTCAGTGAGAATTGGTTACTTAAAATTCAGAGGCCTCCTTCAAAAGCTCATCCCTAATCTCTTCAGAACAATTTCTACTTCATTGTAAGGGGGAAAAGGATCTTTGCACAGGAGTTAGCAGGGTTCATTGAAAGAGCTTTAAACTAGATTTGAAGGGTGAAAGGGATAAAACCAGGCTCACTAGAGATAAACCTGAAGATGTCACGCCAATGTTTGAGGGACAGTGTGCTAGCGAGGTCCTTTGGTCTGTCATCTCAGTGGAGGTAGGGGATGGAGATCCATGTGGCAGCAAAGATGCAAGGATTATTGATATGTTAGAAATCACAGAAGCGCCTGAGAAAGGTCACATAGGAATTAGAGCTTCTCCCACCAAAAAGGTGGCAGGATCAATAGCCCAGCTGAAGTGCATCTACACCAATGCACGCAGCAGGGGCAACAAACAGGAGGAGCTGGAAGCCATTGTGCAGCAGGAAAACTATGATAGTTGCCATCACGGAAACATGGTGGGATGACTCACACAATTGGAGTGCTGCAATAGATGGCTATAAACTCTTCAGAAGGGATAGGCAAGGAAGGAGAGGCAGCGGGGTAGCCCTGTACATTAGGGAGTGTTTTTATTGTCTAGAGCTTAATGATGGTGACGATAGGGTTGAGTGTTTATGGGTAAGAACAAGGGGGAAGGTCAGCGAGGCAGATATCATGGTGGGAGTCTGTTATAGACCACCCAACCAGGATGAAGA